TAACGGAAAAGGGTCAAAAATACCCCTGAACTATTGGAAATGGATCAAATATACCCTCCGTTTGATTTTGGGGTCAAAAATACCCTTACAGTTAGTGAATTGGCTCACTTTTACCCCTCAAAACTAACAGATGTCATGTCACTTAAAAAATCACATAAAATCATATATTTTTTGCTGACTTGGAAATTCAAATGGACAAAACTCCCAACATGGTAGCAACAATCCACAAGTGGGGTGGGTGTAATACACCCTTGGCTCAATAAAAGTCCCAAAATGACAAAATTACAGTGAAATTAACACAACATTTTGAATACCTAAATCTTTATTTCACAATTCTTTATTAAAAAAAATACAAACTTTAATCACTTTTCAGTTTCTTCGGTTAGGAGACTGGCAATGGAAGGATTTTTTTGTCCATTTGAATTTCCAAGTCAGCAAAAAAATATTGTTTTATGTGATTTTTTAGGTGACATGACATCTGTTAGTTTTGAGGGGTAAAAGTGAGCCAATCACTAACGGTAAGGGTATTTTTGACCCCAAAATCAAACGGAGGGTATATTTGATCCATTTCCAATAGTTCAGGGGTATTTTTGACCCTTTTCCGTTACTAGAAAATAAATTAAAGCAATTGTATTAGATTAGGACAAGCTAGAAGAAGTCTATATATATATATAGATAGATATTCTAGTCATATTAGGTAAGCAAGCTGAGTACAACGAAATTTTATAAGTGGGGTCTCGACAAGGTAGAATAAATGCAAATTTTATTCTTATTTCGTGAAGGTAGAGAAGTTTTTTTATAGCTTTCATGCGATGTTGGTAGACCGGAAATTGGGGATGTTGGCTCTTGTTACAAATGATTTTGAATATTCCTCATAATTAGGAGATTATTTTAGGGATATAAGAAGTTGTAACTTTTCTAATTACCATTCTCAAAAGCTGTATTCGAATTTATGCTCTCCCCTAAATCTATCAGCCCATTTCCACCCCCATAATGTTTGCATAAATTAAACCCATACATATTCTTGAGATAATATTTTCTGGTTATTTACCAAACGCAAGAAAATTATTTCCGTCTTAAGTGAGAGGTCTTACAAGTAATATAGGCATTCTCTTAAAAAATGAAGTAAATAAGGCAATCACAAAATAATCGAAGGGAGATAACACACAATACATGAAGCCATATTGTTCCTTTATGAAGGAAACAGAAGAAGCAATATCCTCTTACAAATTGTTGCAATCAATGTATTTTTGTACAGTTTTGTTGTGCTATCCTATCAGACCTCAATACATTGCATCAATATCCAAAAAATGTCACCTTTTCATCATCAGTGTTAATTGTTTTACTATTTGACCTGATACGCCGAGGAATGTGAACATTGAAGTAATAGTTGATGATGCTTTGCCTATTCTTGTAAGGAAAAGATTCTAATGAAGCTATTACCTTTAGACAGACCCTTCTTAACGAGGGAGCTGAACTTTTTTTGGTCCTTAATATTCCACAAATTGGAAACTTCTTCTCCCATCTCACCAAATTCCCAGGCAGTAAAGGCTGTCAACAGTTCAGACCACAACTTCAAGCTTTCTTCTTTAACGTGTCTTTTAACACATTCGACTGATCCAGGGGATGTTCGTTTCTCCCTTTCCCAACAAACTCCTCATTATCTTCCTTGTTTTCTAGGTTGTCGGCTCTTGGCCATACCGGTGTGCCAAGCCATTTTGGAGTATCAGATTCCTCCTCTTTATACTTGCATACCATTTCCTTCTTTGATGCTCTTAATGCATTATCTGCTGCTACAACTGGAGTTCCCTCATTCGGAGAGTTGGCCCAATCTGGCACAACAGCCTGAAACCTGGGTCCTACTGGGATTACCAATTTCAAGCTATCTTCATAGATGAATTCACACCATTCTTTTTTCTTCTCACTGGTCAGGGATGGATCCGGTAGTTCTTTTGCTTTCGTCATACTTCATGAGAACATAGAAGAACAAGAGTGAATGAGTTTGTCTCCTAGTGAATATATCACTGTTCCTCAAGCTATGTATTTGAACTTTTCTTTAAAAGAGATCACTGTTTTATAGGATACTAGTACCTAGTGCAGCTTTGGTCGAGTGAAAGGGTTATCCAAGTTCCCCGTTTGACAGCAGTACAAGCTCCTTCAGTACATGCCAAAAATGAGGAGTTAAACAGACAAATGAGTAAAGACTGGACACAAACGGAAAGCAGAGTTGCGTAATAGTAAAGATTATTCAACAAAGAGCAACAGTTTTGTCAGCACAAGTCTCATCAGGAACCAGATCTAAGACCCCTCCTCCTCAAATGTCAAGAAAACACAGTAAGCTTAATGCAACTACTTCGAAAATCTTCTGATTATCTGTCAGCAAAATTCGACCTTCATGACTCATGACTATATGAATGCATATCTCCTACACATGTAGTTGGACTTTTGGGAGATTAAAGATGCAACATATATAGATAACAATGTCAAACAATACTTAGATACATTCGTAGATACGAATGTCTATCTATATTAAATACATACACTTGGAATTGAGCAACTGCGCGATTCAATTTTTCAGGCCGAAAAATTGAACGAAAAAAAAAAACTAAACTTTTTCTTGATACAGTAGCACATTTTCTATTTTTATTTCATGCACCAAAACATAATGTAAATATTCTACTTTTAGCGAAATTTAATTTACATATAAAGATTCCAATTTTAAGCTATAGTCCAAGTATAAAATATACATGTTAAAGTTAATGAAGAATATCATCAATGTAAGTAAGCATAATTAGTGAAAAGGAATTGAAATTCAAAAGAAGTAAAGTTCACTTGCCTTTTGTTTTCTCAACAATTGTCAAAATGGGACCAAGTTGAAGTTGCTTGCCAATCTCCACCTTAGTGAAAAAACAAAAAAAGAAGGGAAAAAGAGTTAAGTAAATGAGAAAGAATGAAAATTTTGAAAAACATTTTATTTATAGGTATAAAATATAAGAAAGAAATAAAGAAGAGAAGGATACTTATTCTTTGTAATTTTTGGGTTGTCACAACTCACAATGGAGGATTGGAGCTGTAGGAACACCATTTATAGTAGGGAAAAGGCTATATAAGAAAACACACACAAAAATCAGGTAAAAGATATTTATATATTGAGTCACGAGGAATTCGAGGTGTAGGAATACTCATTTATAACATGGTAGGGGAAACATATATATGAAAATGCGAAAAAGTTTGAGGCAAAAGATATTTATAGATTGAATCACGAGGAATTCGAGGTGTACAAACCCTCATTTATAACAGAGGTGGGAAAGGTACATGTGAAAATACAAAAAAAATTAAGGTAAAAGATATTTATGAAAAATTCACAAAATATTTCTTGACTAAAATATCTTAAAATAGAGTCGTCAAAATGAGTTGACCCATGAAATTAGTCAAATTCAACTCATTAGTTTGGTGTGGTTGGACTGACATTTTCCTTGCTCATTAAAAATAGGGGATCTTTTAGCCTATCTTTAGTCAGTCTGCTAGTCTCGTGTAGTAGGGTTGGACTAGTTTGTAGTCAACACTTTTAATTTAAATAGAAAAGTGAAGATTTGAATATAATTTTTTAAGAATAATATCAATTGTTAAAAGAGTATATATCAACATTTGATTGGTAACAACTATGCTTCAAGGAGAGAAGTCTAAAGGATATCATTACAAAACTAGGAGTGAAAGCACATCCTTACTCTCTAACTTATCAAAATAAAAGGAAAGAAAAAGGAGGAGGGTTGCTCCTCGTCACATAAGCTTACAAAAAATCCTAGAATTCATAAAACTAGAAGCAACCAAACGAAATTTAACCAGGGTCGAATATGAAATTGCCCTTCTTCACTCGAATTCTAATGTTGGGCTTGTCAACTACATCATTCATCAAGGTGGAAGTAATCTTAGAAGGAATATTTATGGCCTCGGTGAAGAAGGTAGTTGTTTTGCAATGTTCAGCCATATTTGCGAGCAAATTAGCTGTAGTTTCTCTAAAGGTGTGAATGAAAGAGAAATGACCAAGTGATGGATTGAATCTGTTTAATATCATCTTTGATCTGCCAAGGGGGGTTGATCTTGCCTTTAACCATGTGAATAATCAATAGGGAGTCAGACTCAACAGTAACTCGGTGAAAATCATGATCTAGACACCATCTTAGGCCAGTCTTTAGAGCTAGAGCCTCAGCTGAATTATTTGAGCAAAAAACAAAATAGGCACTGAAAGCCATAATCATTTATCCAACATGATCCCTAAGAACTCCTCTATAACTAATGGAGTACATACTTAGCAAACTATAATAATATCAATACAAGGAGTTTCAATATACGCAGAAACATAGTTAAAGACATAATTGCTCCTGAAAATGTACAAAGCTTTGAGAATATGAAGGGTATTTTTGTAAACAAACATTTTTTTTAGAATTATGACCAAAACAAACAATTGAGAAGAAATAATCCCAGCATAATTAATCTCCTCATTACTCACACACCCTAGCTAGCACTACTTTTATAAACACTACCGAACGACACAAAATAATCGAACATGTCGAAGAGAGATAAAAGACAATGTATGAAGCTGGATGTAAGAAGCCATATTGTTCCTTTATGAAGGAAACAGAAGAAGCAATATCCTCTCAAATCCAGATATCAATGTATTTATGTATAGTTTTTTTGTGCGATCCTATCAGACCTCAATACATTGCATCAATATCCAAAAAATGTCACCTTTTCTTGACTTTAAAACCTATGTATAAAATGTGAACCCCATCCCAAAACTCTCCCTGGATTGAGTGATAAAATACATTTCTCTCTGTATATTCCATTTCTATGACAACTAAAAAAGAATGTATATTGATACTTCTGGTGTCATCGTCGACCACTTAGGTACTTTGTCTTCAGAGATTTAGAACTAGTAGAGACACCTTTGTTTGCTCGATTCCTTTTACGAGAATGTCTGGGAGCAGTGACCTCCTCTTCCTCATCTTCTTCCTCTTCTTCATCTTCATCATCGGTGTTAATTGTTATACCATTTGACCTGATACGCTGAGGAATGTGAACATTGAAGTAATAGTTGACAATGCTTTGCCTATTCTTGGAAGGAAAAGATGCTAATGCTGGTTTCATGAAGCTTTTGCCTTTAGACAGACCGGTCTTAACGAGGGACCTGAACTTTTTTTGGTCCTTAGTGTTCCACAACTGGGAAACTTCTCCTCCCATTTCATCAAACTTCCAGACATTGAAGGCTGTCTCCAGTTCAGACTTCAACTTCATGCTTTCTTCTTTAATGTGTCTTTTAACACACTCGAAAGATCCAGGGGACCTACAAGAACAATGTTCGTTTCTCCCTTTCCCAACCAATGCCTCGTTAACTTCCTTGTTTTCTAGGTTGTCGTCTGTTGGCCATACCAGTGTACCAAGCCATTTTGAAGTATCAGATTCCTCCTTTTTATACTTGCATACCATTTCCTCCATTGATGGAATAGAAGCTCTTAATGCATTATCTGCTGCTACAACTGGAGTTCCCTTATTCGGAGAGTTGGCCCAATCTGGAACATCAACATCAACCTGAAACCTGGGTCCTACTGGGATTACCAATTTCTTCTCACTGGTCAGGGCTGGATCCGGTAGCTCTTTTGCTTTCGTCATACTTCACGAGAACATGGAAGAACAAGAGTGAATGAGTTTGTCTCCTAGTGAATATATCACAGTTCCTCAAGACTTCTTTAAAAGAGATCACTATTTTATAGGATACTAGTACCTAGTGCAGCAGAATCAAGCGTGAATGAAAGCTTTTGGTCGAGTGAAAGGGTTATCCAAGTTCCCCGTTTGACAGCAGTACAAGCTCCGTCAGCAGCAACTTATGCAGCCCTTCTCTATATGCCAAAAATGAGAAGTTAAACAGACGAATGAGTAAGACTGGATACAAAGAGCAATAGTTTAATCAGCACAAGTCTCATCAGGAACCAGATCTAAGACCCCTTCTCCTCAAATGTCAAGAAAACACAGTAAGCTTAATGCAACTACTTTGAAAATCTTCTGATTATCTGTTAGCAAAATTCGACAGTCATGACTCATGACTATATGAATGCATTTATGCATATCTCCTACACATGTACTTAGACTTTCAGGAGATTGATGCACACGCAATGTATATAGACAACTAATGGTATAACAATACATATATACATTATTAGATATGAATATCTATGTATATTAAATACATACACGTAGAAGAAACATACATCACAGATTCACATATATGAATGTAGAAGAAGGATTAATAGTCTTTATTTATCGGCAACCCTTTTCCAGTCACGAAGAGACACTTTAGAATCTTTATAAAGGGCTCTTGATTCTTCTCTTAACTCAATCAAAAGCCACTGATCTCAGCTCTTCCGTCGCCTCCATTGAAGCTAGAATTGAAGAACAGGGGAGCAGCGGCAATATAAAATTTCGAATTCTAAGCATGAAAAATTCAACGAAATAAATTAAGATACATATTACTTGATCTTCTTGTCAGAAAACAAGTTATGATGTTGTAATTCGCCGATCATTACGAAAATTATCAAATTTCCAGAAGAATTTCAGATAATTACGTCTCTGATTCATTAAAATCGTCGTTTTTATTTTCTCGAAGGCGCAAAAATGAAGATTTAAACCCTAATTCCTTATCGCGTTCTTCGAAATCTTGCCCAAATTCAATCTTTTCAAGTTTTCTCTGAAATCTACTCAGATTCAGACTCTTTACTGTTCTTGAGCTACTGCGCGATTCAATTTTTCAGGCCGAAAAATTGAACGAAAGAAAAAACTGAACTTTTTCTTGATACAGTAGCACATTTTCTATTTTTATTTCATGCACCAAAACATAATGTAAATATTCTACTTTTAGCGAAATTTAATTAAAATTTAAAAGATTCCAATTTTAAGCTATAGTCCAAGTATAAAATATACACGTTTAAAAAGTTAATGAAGAATATCATCAATGTAAGTAGGCATAATTAGTGAAAAAGAATTGAAAATCTAAAGAAGGAAAGTTCACCTGCCTCTTTTTTTCTAAACAATTGTCAAAATGGGACCAAGTTGAAGTTGCTTGCCAATTTCCACCTTCTTGAAAAAAAAAAAAAAGGGAAAAAAGAGTAAAGTAAATGAGGAGAATGAAAATTTTGAAAAACACTTTATTTTATAGGTATGAGATATAAGAAAAAATATAGAAGAGGAGGATACCTTTGTATCAACTCAAGTGAAGCATTTACTAATTCTTTGTGATTTTTGGGTTGTCACAATGGGGAATTGGAGGAGTAGGAACACCCCTTTATAGTAGGAGAAAAGGCTATATGTGGAAATATAAAAAATAATTAGGTAAAAGATATTTATAGACTGAATCACGAGGAATTCGAGGTGTAGAAATATTTATTTATAACATGTTGGTGGGGGGGGGGGAGAGAGATATATATGAAAGTACAAAAAAATTGAGGCAAACGATATTTATAGATTGAATCACGAGTAATTCGAGGGGTAGATACACTCATTTATAATAGGGCGGAAAAAGGTGAGGTAAAAGATATTTATGAAATTCACGAAACATGGTTTGACTAAATTCTTAAAATAGAGTCGTCAAAATTAGTTTGATTCGTGAAATCAGTCCAAGTCAATTCATTAGTTTGGTGTGGTTGGACTAGTATTTTCCTTGTCAATTTAAAACTGGGACTCTTTAGTCTATCCCTGGTCAGTTTGACTGCCTCGTGTGGTGAGGTTGGACTAGTTCATGGGTCAAAACATTGAATTTAAATAGAAAAGTGAAGATTCATATATAATTTTTTAAGAATAATTTCTATCGTTGAAAGAGTATACGTCAACATTTGATTAGTAACAACTATGTTTTTAGGTAGAGCTGTCAAAATGGGCTGGTCCAACCCAACCTTAACGGGCTAGAGAGTTAAATGGGTTGGGACGGGCTGACCCTTTTAATTAAAGGACCTATAAAATAGCAGCCCAACCCAACCTTAAGCGGGCCATGGGTTGGGACGAATTGGTCCTTCAACCAAAAAACGGATAATATTTTTCGCTTAGAAAGAATACGAACGTTGATGAATTACAACATACTTCAGTGAATATTTACAAAACAAATACATAATACCCAAGATACAACATTCATAAGTTTCATCCGAGACAAAAAACATTACATTATCACTATTTTCATAAACAAGACAATAAAGGAGAAGTGAAAAATTAGGCATAAAAACAAGGGATAATTGTACATAATAGCAAACTATTAATTCAAATGAAATGCTATAAATATACTTTGATTTAATTGTACCCTATAGCAAACTATTGCTATTTTTGCCACTCTCCCAGGTGGAATCTCGCTCGCCACTCTCCCAAATCTCGCTTGCCACCCTCGCCTCTCTCGCTTATACAAACAGAAACGAAATGTATAAATTGTGTTTCTGTTGTATAAAGCGAGAGAAAATTGTATATACACATGTAAATACATATATCTTCGTCTTATACACTTATAATTATACAATACAAATATTTCCCTGCCTAGTTTTCTTTTGCCTTTCTCTCTTTCTCATTTTATACATACACAGATTATGTAATTGATCTTTTGTATACAACTGCTTTCTTTTGTATATGTATAGTGAATTATACAATTGCTTTTTTTATATATGTATAACAAATTATACAACTGTTTTTTTTTTGTATATGTATAGCGAATTATACATATATATGTTTGTTATGGAGCGCAATTATGCAAACTTTGCTATAGCATACAAATATGAATTTTGTGTTTGCTATATGTGAAAGTTGCTTTAAAAACAAAAGTAAAAAAGGTCAAAGATTCATAGTTATAATGGAGTAATGGACTTGGGTTAATAAGAAAATTTAGTGGGCTAATGACCCTAAATGTAAAAGATATGTAAAAAATATAGTCTTGATTTTATATTGATATTTTAAAAATATTTATTGACAAAATCTTAACAAGTAAAACACTACTTAAAATATACATAATAAATATTTTTAAAATTCACAGCCCGCGGGTTGGCCTCTGAGGCTTGTGGGTTGGCCTACAAGGCCAGCGGGTAAAATGAGGCTGGGCCAAAAAGTCTTGTTCCTAAATGGACTGAAAAAATTAAGCCAAACCCCATTTAATTCAAGGGTTGGGTTGGGCCGGCCAAGCGAGTCAAGCCCATTTTGACAGCTCTACTTTTAGAAGAGAAGTTCAAAGGATATCCAACAACCTAGGTAGAATTGCTAGAAAGAAATTTAATAAATATTTTAGGCACTATTGTCATATTATGCATGTTAGTTGAATGAAGTAAATGAATACTTTACAAGAAAAAATGATCGATATAGAGTATTTGTACACTCTAATATTTATAATATTTGGTATCAGAGCTAATTACCTTAAATAACTTATGGAGAACTTGAATTCTTAAAATTGAAATAGAAAAAATTTATTTGAAATAAATGTCGGTGAGATTAACTATGATAATTATGAAAAGATTGGGCTATAGAGCTCACATATATTGCTTTTAAGAATATATCTTGTTATTGAAGATTAAAAAAAAAAACGATCACAATGAGAAGGATCTATTGAGGATATTCAAAAGATAGAAGGGTCCTTGCAAAGCTCCTACCATTCCTTTTTAAAGATTTAATCAATTGTATTGTTTTAGTATTGAAAAGTTCAAAGACTTAAACATCATGATCATAGAAGAACTTATTGATTATTTGCAAGTTTGTAAAAGAGATTGAAGAAGTTGAAACTAAGAATCAACTGAACAAGCTTTCTAAAGAATACTTTAGACATGATTTGTATCAAAGTCATAAACATAAATGAGATGAACGAAAATCCAACAAATTTCAAATAGGAAAACTCAATCATGGTTATCTTCATCAAGCCAATAGAAATTAATGTCTTTCACATATTTATTTTGGAGTGATGAATCCAATTTAAAGAGGGTCTTGAAAATTAAGTTAGGTTCAACTTAAGTATATAAATATTCTTAGATTATGTGTCAGGATATTAATGTAAGTTTATAAATATATATTGTTGTGTTCATGAGCTATGGAATAAGGACTTTACCAGAAATAAATGAAGGCAATTGTAATTTGTATTAGATTAGATGCATGCTACAAGAAGTATTATATTACTTTACTCTTATTTAGAAGTGAGAGTTGGAAAGGACCAACACAGCTTTAAGGAGTGATACCAAAAGCAGTTCAAGTTGTACTATTGGGTTGGGACTAACACAGCTTTAACAACTGATACCAAAAGCAGTTCAAGTTGTACCAAAAGGACAAACAAAGCAACACGAAATTGTACCAAAAGTTACATAAATTGTACCTTCACTTTGGACCCATTTTATTCCTTTTCTTTTCTTTCCTAGCCACGTGTATGCAGCCTTTTGTTAGGCAGACACGTACAAGCCCAAAAATGTGGGCCCTTCTTTCTGCCTATTTCACATTTTTCTATTCTTCTTTAATTTTTGTTATCATATTGCCCATTAACAATTCTCATTTCCTTCTTTTATTTGTTCCTCACAGTTTCTTTTTAATTTTTTCCCACTTTATTTCTTCCTTGAAAATTTAACATTTTGAAATTTAATTAATTCATTTATTATATTTTAGCTACAAAATATAGTAGAAAGAAATTAAATTTTCTAAAAAAATTTAGTTGATTCTTAAAATTCTATCATTGTCACATGAATTTAAATAAATAGAATAAAATGTATTATTAAAATATTTATGATTATTCACGTGAATTAGAACATGAATTATCTCCTTATTTAGAAGTGAGAGTTGCAAAAGACCAACACTGCATTAATACTCTTGTACAACATGCATACAATTTTGTACATTCACTTTTCACTGCATTCATTAGTTGTACAACGTGCAAAAAGAATTGTACATTAATAGAAGGACTAACACCAAGGACTAACATTGCAATTATTATTATTACTCATTACCTAGAAGGATTAACATTGCAATTATTATTATTACTCATTACTCCTTATTAGAATTATTATTATTACTCATTTGGCTCCTTATTAGAGTTGACACTTTAAAGCACGAATACGGCACTACCATGTTGTACACAAAGCATTTGAAATTGTACTATAAAATTAATTGTGCCTCATTAATTGTACACGTGCCTTTCTACATATACAACAACCCACATGAAGAATTAATTTTCTGACAATTTTGGTTATATTTTTCTTTAAAATAATTATTGCC